CCCTCCCTCATCTTCCCAAATGCAAGCAATTGCTGGAAGAAAAGCACCAGCAGCTTCCAGATATCCTCAGTAACCTCAGCCATCAGATCCTGGCAAGGACCTCCATCTGTTCAGATACTCCATGGCACCATTGCTCCCTCTCTTTGTCCACTCTCAGGGCAGGCCAGGGCAGTGTGGCAGCTCAGGATGTCACACAGCATGAGCCACTTCAGTTTACTGAGTTTATGCAATGTCTTCCTCAGACTCATCTCCAGATCCCCATCGCCTCGGGGAATGTTGCCCTTCTTGGCACCACACCTTGTACACAAAGCAGGGCTCTGGGACAGCTGGGGCCCGGGGGGGATGGTGGCAGCCAGGAGGGCAAGGACCAGCATGCACACAAACCATCTGCACTCACCCACCAGCCAGATCTACCACCGGGATAAACAGCAGGGACAAGCCACATCTTGCTGAATTCCTGCAGGCCAGTGGGAGCTGTCAGTGCATGCTCTGGTGCCAGCTGCCTCCTCAGCTCCCATTTCCATCTCCAGGCTAAGCTTTGTTATTCCCTGCACTGGCTAATGGCCATTAAACTTAGTCCCAAAAGGGGGATTACTCACCTGGGTCTTATACCCACGTTGTCAGTGATTAATGAGCACAAAGCAGCCAGGCAGACCCAAAGTCAACCCAGGAGAGCAGAAAGCAGCGATGAAACTCGCAAAAAGCAAGCCGTGTAAGGATCTGAACTTAAATGCAGCTAGGGAACAAAGAGGATGGAGGAGGTTTAGGAGGAGGACACAGATGAGGCTGATTGGGCTAATTAAGGCCAATTAGTGCAGGCAGGACCCTGATCCCTTTTGCAGGGAGAGGATGTGAGAGTGATGCTATGAGAACTACTTGGGAAACTCAGGATAAACCAGCACTTCCTCCATCCTTGGCACAGCACCATTCTCTCAGTACTAGCAGAGCTGCTCTGAAGGGGTTTTGTCAGAGTTGTTCAGACACTGTCCCAGCCTCAGGAACCTGTTTTCAGATGCCCTGAGACTTCAGTTTCTGTTAGGTCTGTCTATGTTCCAGGGATGGAGCAGAGCAAGAGTTTAATTTGCAACTGAACCTGCCTGAACAGCTCCCTGCCACAAAGCATTCTGCAATCCCATAGCTGAAATGTCACTTCATTTCCCCTGCTTTAGACAAAAAACAAAATCTAAAACCAAACCCCCCACGCTTCCTCTGCAAGAATCAATGTGCCAGAGGATTTGCTAATCTGGATCTCTGTAACAAATTCAATTGGTCTTTCTTAAGTGCGATTTGCAAGCTCTGAGGCATTTGCACTTTGGCTTCCAGACACAAAGAATCACAGAACCATTTGGGTTGGAAAATACCTTAAAGATCATTGAGTCCAACCATTAACACAGCACTGCCAAGGCCACCACTAAACCATGTTTTTAAGCCCCAAAGCTGCTGCTGAGGCTCCTGAGCATGGGGCTGGTTTACCAGGCTGGAAGATGCATGTAAGGACAGGGAGAGAGCAGGTGATTTGCAACCACCTCCACTGTGCCCCAGGCACAGCCTGTCCCCAGAGGGCTGCAACCAACTGCTGACAAGTGACATCCAGCTGAGGCAGCCCTGTAGTGCTGGGCCAAGCAGCACCACTTGGGCTGATGCTTTAATCAGCTAAATCTGGGTTCTCTGCTGTCACCTCACTGGGTCACCTTGGAGAAGTCAGCTGGGATATAAGTTACATGGAAGAGGATGGCAAAGCCAGCCATGGTCTCAGGATGAAAAGGTACTTTAAAAGTCACTTATAAACGTATTTACCAAGACAGTTGCTTGGTACCTACCCTCAACAGACACTGAGTGACCCTGAAAAGCAGTTTACCACCCTGCTCAGTTTACAGTAAACATCTTGCTTCTATACATGAAGCTTATTTTACACATTCATAAAATATGTGTCCATGCATGCCAGGGCTGAGCTCAATGGCAAGCAAGAAACCTCCATTCCCATTCCTTCTCTCAAGCTGCAGGCATTGTCCAGTCTCTGAACACTCCTCCAAGCCCCATTGCTTTGGGTAGTGGTTCTGCCTCCCTCCAGCCACACTCCTGACTTCCCTGCTGGGCCCTGTGGCTCAGTCTCCCTCCTCAGTGGCTCCAGAGAAGTGAGCTGGCAGAAGGGCCACCACCTACAAGCTCTTACTGAAGACTATAAATACCATTTTTTGCATAGCATAAACCTGAATTTGTGAAATATAAACCTCTTCATTTAAGGTGAGCTACATAAATGCCCCAGGCCCTTGTGTCTCTTGGCATAAGGGAGCAGCCAGAAGCCCTCATGCCAGCAGCTATGTGGCCCCCATTGGAGCTGAGGGAAACTGAGGCACAGAAAAAGAAGGGAGAGCTACTGTGTGAGCACTCCTGCTCTGCTGCCATAAACAACAGCTACCAGGGCTGCTCCACAACAGCTAGGGAAATCCAAGGTTTGAATGCTGATGTCTTGGGGATCAATGGATGAAGAAAAAACATTCAGATAATAATAGAAGATTAGCTCATCAGGGCAGACAGCGACTGCCAGAGAGTGGCTGGAAAGAAAGACTCAAACAGGCAGTTCCGTGTCCCATCCAGGGCACTCACGTGTCCTCAGGTGCTCCACAGGTGGTAGAGAGAAGCACCTTTGCACTGTTCTCCTGCTCCAAACAAAAGCACACTTGTTTTCTGTAGACACCCAGGTGTGGCTATTGCTGTGAACTCCAATCCTATTCCCAGCCCTACTGATACGGGATGATCACGTGCATGTGAAAATCTGCCCATGTTTCACACATGTCCCAGTCCCATCATGTTCTTTGCTCAACAGCAGGAGCAGGTTGCCTGAGAGCATCAAGCCCACAGAAGCAGGACAGCACACACCACCCCTCCACTTTCATACTGTCCATTCTATATCTGGATACCTTGGAAGGGTTAACCCGAGGGTTTGCAGCGCTGCTGTTCATCGGTGTGGCACAGCCGGCTAAGCCAGAGCTGGAAAAAACTTGTTCCTTTACCTTTGTGCAGGCAGAAGGCAGCGAGGAGGTCGTGTGGCGCCTGGCAGCACATCCCCAGGGTCCTTGCAGCGGCTGCTCAGGTCGGGCTGCCCAGGGGAAAAGGTGTCCTGCAGCCAGGGGCAGAAGGAGGATAAAAGCCATGGGGTCTGCAGCCCCACTGGAAAGTCCTCCCCTGTAAGCAGGCACCCAGGGAGATGCGAGGGGAGCCAGGAATCTGCTGGACAAACTCTAAAGTTGGACAGGGCAGCTGGGAACAGAGAAGAGCTGTGCTTCTGCCTTTTTTTGCAGGTTTGCTGTTGCCGGGGAGAGGTTTTAGGCTGTCACCCAGCTAATTCACAGCACAGAAACGAGCACTTGAATTAGCTGCATTATCTGCGCCCAGCTAAACTGGACAAAGGATTAAAGTGTGCTGAGCACCACCACCGTGATTTGCATCTCAGAGCCCCTTCCCACGGGCCCCCTCTGCTCACAGCCTTTTTTTTTTTTCATTTTCTGGCTGTGAGCCAGCCAGCATAAGAGCCCTGTTTACAGAAATGATGCCTAGGTTAATATTGCAAAAGACTTCATCAAAGCCTGTAGTCGCTACTGAAGCACAAGGGTCTGACCATGGGCCATGAGCTGCGCACACAGGGATGAGCCGCAGCCACGCGGCGCCGCCCTTCGTTCGACCGATTCTGGTCTCAGCCTGAGGTATGAAACTCACTTTCTGTCACCATGGCATATTTGAAATAATGAGCAAAATCAAACTATTATTCATGGCTAAAGCTGCACACAAGACCTAAATGCAGCTGTTGTTTTAGGGAAAAAACACTATTTGACTGCTAAGTAAATATTGTGCTGTACAGTGACCTTATGGGCACTTTTTCTGAGCTCATCCAGCTGCCAGAGATTATTATTTTATGCATGTTTATTTATATGGAGAGGATGGGGAATGCTATTGCTATATGTTTCGTGCTGTCAGTCTCAAAGAAATCCAAACTGTGATCTCTCAGAAGCAGTTCTAGATCTAGAGAGGTAAAGCAAAAGCCTATCTGCCATCACTGGATTCTAATTAATTAATAGCTTTTAAAATGTTTTTTTACCACCAGCACTTTGTAGGTAGGTGTAGTTTTCCTGAAAGGTTCATACTGAGCTCTGCTGTGATACGGAACCTTTATAGGTTTCTATTTTACTTGGCATTTACTTGGCATGCAGTTTTTCCTCCTGTGCACAGGGGTTGAGTGACCTTAGCAATTGCCAGCAAGGGGACTCCATATGATGAAAGCAGGTGAAAAGGAAAATAAGGGCGGAACTAGGTAAAGCCAATTCATATCTCAGAGGAGGTGTGGTCCTGTCCTCTACCAGGCTGTGGTCACAGTCTTGTGAAATATAAAAGGAGAAGGCAGCTTTCTTAAACAAGCTGGTGCCAGGATCCTGAAGCGAGAAGGAAGGGAGGTGCTGGAAATGCAGAGCAAGAAGTCAAGAGTGTCAGCTGGGAAAGGTGTGAGAAACACTGGTGCTCTGAGCCTCAGGAACACCATCAACTCTTCCCTGAAGGCCTGTTTGCTGGCCTGAGGGTTACATGGTAGCTGCACTCCCTTCCCCAGCAGGCTGGCTTAGAGGAGAACGGAGCTATCATGTCCCAAGGAGAAGCAGCAGGACGTGGTGCTGCCAAGCCCCAGGACCAGGGATGGGCATGGATGGTCCTGCTGGCTGCGGTGATGCTGCAGGGGCTGACATTGGGCTTCACCAGCTGCCTCGGTGTCTTCTTCACGGACCTCCAGCATGAGTTCCAGGCCAGCAACAGCCAGACATCGTGGTTCCCGTCCATCATGGTGGCCGTGCTGCACGGAGGGGGTGAGTGATGGCAGGGAATGGCCTCCTCCACATCCTGCCCTTGTGCTGCTGGTGGGGGGATGTAATGAGGATACTTTCAGGTTCTCATTAAGGTGGGTGGTGGAAGGAGGTCCAAATAGAGTGCCTGTTTGGAAGCACACAGCGTCTCCAAGCCACTTGGATCCCACAGTCCAAAGCTAAATGTCCACAGATTCCACGCTCCCTTTTGTCACTCTCAGAGTCAGCCAAGACCCTTGGTCAAAGAAGGCAAATCCCGTTCTCAGTCCAGTTCTTTCCAGATCAGCAAGAACATAGTTATTACTCACAGAAGCTCTTTGAATAAACCAGGATGTGGTGCTGGAGCTCTGGTTCTTTCTTGGTTCATCTTGTCCATGAGAGCACATCTCCTTCCAAGTGCCACATGACAGCTCTGTTCCTTGTGGCTGCAGAGATTCCAAAAACTGAGCTCCTCAGAGCTGCCAGCTGAGGCAAAGTCTTAAAAGCAGTTCCTTGGGCGGTGGCACGGAGCACACACCTACGCAGGCATCAGGGTGGATGTGAGCAGGGCTGGATCAGCGCAGAATGTGGGTCAGGAAGCACCCCCTGGCTGCAGCGGTGGAAGGAGCATTGTGCTCTGTGGATAGTGGAGTGAATCACTGGTTTTCCCCTTGAAATAAAATACGGGAGCAGTACAAGGCAGGGTCCCAGATTCCACACAAAGATGTGGGGATTCTTTTCTCTTTCTGCAGAAAGAAAACCAAATCTCCAGCAGCTCAAGGACTTGCCAATGAATGGTCTGTGCTTTGTGACCCATACAAATCCTGTGCTTATCTGATAAACAGACAACCCAAACCCTACCAGGCAACAGAAAGAAGGTTCCCAGTGTTGCCCATGTATCTGAGCTTCTCCCGAGTTCATTCCTACTCCCTTCCAGTGCTGGTGAAAGTTGATACTGCATTATAAAGATAAAAAAACAACCCCAGAGCCCTGAGTCACACTGATGCAAAGGCTTTGGCAGGTTCAGTCTGTCCCATGCAGGATATGGTGGGCAGCTACCTGCATGGAATTGAGAATTTGCACTTTAGCAGGAACAGCTGGGTCCAGAATATCAAGGTGCAGATGGAAAGAGATATTGAGGGAAGCAACAAGGGGAGGAATCACCACTAAGAGTCAGCAGAAATAGAGCAGTAACCTCAGGGTTTGGAATTCGGAAGCTGTTGGGCATTCCCCATCCTGCTTTCCAGCCCTTGTGATCCTTCTGTGATTAATGGGAAGGATCCAATTGAGACCTGCTGGCTCTGGGAAATGGTCTCTGAAGCAGCTTGGTCCCAGCATGTCCAGGAAGGACAACTCTGGCAGTATCCACAAGAATGTCAATTATCCTGTCATCTTTAATGAAGTAATTGTTGTGTAGGAGACTAGAACTACAGTAAAAGGTAATACTAAGACAGCCAATACATAGATCCAAAAGTTATAACTTAGATAAGGAAAGAATAGCCTTGTGTCGATATTCACAGTAGAATCTGTCAGGGCACAGCCAGAGAGTTGTACTTTGCTTGCCAGTTATGTCTTCTATTGCAGGGTGTTATAGGAGGGCTTGTGCTTATCCCCTGGAAGCACGAGGAAGCAGTAACATAAACCAGAAGGAAAACCCAACAAACTAAACTGAGATCAAAGCCTCCCTCTCAAGCCAACCACATATAGCTTTTGCTGGAACTTCTGACCTCCTTTGTAAGGGGCCAGGCTTTACTTGATTCAGGTTCTCTAGTTACATCCATCATTTCAGCACTTAAAGCTTTCCCTAAATTGCATGCTGCTGTCACCAGTATCTCTTAGAGATGCCACTCTCTTTTCTTCACCTTTATTCTTTTTAATTCACAGTAATTGAAGGGGGGAAAAAATATTTGTTGCAAAAATTTGAAGAGGAAGGGAAATGGGCAGAACAGGTTGTGCTCAGAGTAGCCAGTATTGGGAGAAGGTTCAATGCTGGAGAGCTATGGAAGGAAATGGGGAAGGGCACAGGGCAAACAATAGCTCACAATTCAGCCAAATATATCCCATTATCGGTGCTACATTCCTAGGTAAAAGCCATTAATGATTATTTTGTTATAAGATAATTTGAGAGACCTCAGGGTCCTACATCTGTCTCCAAAAGGGGGTTTCAGGCCCTTACAGGTCCTGTTCCTAGATATTCATGCACACCAAACACTTTGCACTAACTCACACAAATGCAACACTTTTGTCAATATTATTCTTGCAAAAGAAAGCACAAAAGTCCCAGGCAAGTGAGAAATAATGTTTGAAACCCAGACAAGAAGCACCCAGGAACTAATCATGAAAAAACATTAAGTTTTTAGAGCCAATCTCATTATTTTGCAGTGTTCAATTTATGCCTTCCTGGGCTGGTTAAACAGCAGTACCATCCTTAATGACTTCAGCAGGAGGAAAAATAATCCAGTCACATTTGCTGGACACTTTTTCAAAGGCCAGTGAAGTCTGAGGTGAAAAATCTCCCAAGCAGATCAAAATACAGACAGCTGCACTCCTAATTTTAATAATGTTCCACTGTTCACTTGACTCTGTGGATTTTATTTCAAACCAGACATTGATTTAGGTCACAAATATGCCACAGGTTATATTCCCTACACTGACTAACTCCTAATTCTGCAGCTTACAGTCATTTTGTATTTGCTTCTATAACCTTAAATGTTCAGAATTGGGAAAAAAAAGTTAATAAAACCTGGAAAACCTTAAGGATCCTCAAGAGAACAAGAAAATAAACTCTACCTTCAGATCCTCTTCTGCCAGAGCATAAAGAGAAGCACCTTCCCACTGGTGGGATGCAGGTGTGAACTAATCTTTCCCTGCCCCAAAATTAAGGAAGTTACATGTCATTAGCAAACAATTTATCACAATCTCATGGAATTCACCAGAAGTCCATTTCCAAGGGTTTTAATGAAAATTCATCACATCCTACTTGATGGTCAAAATCCCAGCAGATCACAGACTCCCCCTCAGCCAACAAGCTGACCAAGTACTTGAGAAGCTCACAGAATATATTTTCTCTTCCTGTCTCCTCCACTACATTAAACTGCCAGGACAACCCTCAGGGTCTCTAGACTACATCACTTGATAATTGCAGCAATCCAGCAGGTACAAAATACTTCCTTACTGACTGCTTCCTTTTTCCTTCTCTACTTCCAGGGCCCCTCTGCAGCATCCTGGTGAAACGGTTTGGCTGCAGGTTTGCAGTGATGCTGGGAGGGCTGCTCAGCGGGCTGGGAATGGTGTCCAGCTCCTTCTGCAAGTCCATCGGCCAGCTGTACCTCACGGCCGGCCTCATCACTGGTACGTACAGGGAGCAGGGAAAGTCAGCTGCTGTGCTGGACATGGGAAATGGGAGTGCCCCAACTAAGTGGTCACATTTTTCCACTCATCTGTGAAATATGAGAAGTCAACAGCCTCCCAGCACAGCAGAAATCCTACACTAGACTTGGCCATCCCACTAGACTTGGCCTTCACACCCCTTTAGCACACACCTCACCCACTCAAGCTTGCTGGGAAGTGCCTGTCTCTGGAAAAAGCTACAGCTCTCCAGAAGGTAAACTGGAGAAAAAGGATGTCTGTTCTTTTTAGTAGCTTCTCAGCCTTTTGTCTTTCAAGAAGAGGAGCTTTTGTTGTTTTTCCAGTCTTGGAACATAATGTGTTTGGATAATGTCCTTCCCAGGTTCCCTGGGTTTTTATTTCACCACTCCCAAACTGGGGGAGAATGGAGACATCTTTTTCTAACAAAAGACCCTGTTGGTTTTGAACAGAATTAACAGATGGGAACTTTTCCTTTCCAAATATTTCTCCTATGGAACTGATGTTCTCTTGGTTTTTAATAACACAGAGAAATTAATTCCTTACTCTGGAACCAATCCTGCTGGATCTTTCAAGTTAAGCAGCGGCCACTGCACAGAGAGAAAAACAAGCAATTCCCTGAGCCCTGATGAAAGCATCAGGAAAGCAGAACTTCTTGTTGCATGTGGTATAAAACCCAAGTTTTTAATGAACAGTTCCAATACAATAACAATTTTAAGAATTGCAGGGTGTCCCAGAAAAATATCAGATTAGGTCAATATATTTACTATACCAAAGAACACAAATAGTTTAATTTAGACACATCCTTCTTCATCCCTGGTGTGGGGTTTCTGAGTATTCATCAGTCTCTGGGGGCTGTGTGGCCTGGCAGGTCAGAAAATGCTTCAGTGGCAGAGGAAGTAATCTGTGGGTACACCCTGAATTTGGGCTCTTTTCACCCTTTACGACAACAAAGAAGAATCATTTATTCTCACCTTTAGGTCTGGGATCATGTTTCAGCTTCCAGGCAGGAGTGACTGTGCTCGGCTACTACTTTGTACGGTGGCGAACACTGGCCAATGCCATGGCCTCCACTGGTGTCTCCCTCGGTTTCACACTGTGGCCGCTGCTGTCTCAATACCTGCTGGATGAGATGGGTTGGAGAAACACCTTCCTCATCTTTGGAGGAATACTACTGAACTGCTGTGTTTGTGGAGCCATCATGAGACCCATTCAGCTGGCATCAGGGCCACTTCCACAGTCTGCCAAGCCCAAAGAGGAAGCAGGAAGCAGAGCAGAAGAGGGACAGCTGTCCAATGGAGCATCTCCTTACCACCCCACACTCCAGCAGCACACCAGAAGGACAAAATGCTTCCAGATGCTGCAGAAGTACCTGGCTTTTGACATCTTCTGTGAAAACAAAGGTTACCGGATTTACACTATTGGAGTGACCTGGATGATGATGGGGTTTGCCTTACCCCATGTCTACCTTGTGCCTTATGCCACCCACAATGGGGTGGAGGAACGAAAGGCAGCTCTCCTCATCTCCATCATCGGTTTCATCAACATCTTCATCCGCCCTCTCACAGGGCTGCTCTCAGGACACAGAATCTTCACAGGGAGACGCATCTACCTGTTCAGCCTGGCCGTGCTCCTCTGTGGGCTCAGCAATTTCATCTGTGTCATTTCAGCTGAGTTCAGTGTGCTCATCCTCTACTGCATCATCCTTAGCATAGCCATGAGTGGCATCGGGGCACTCGTCTTCCAGGTGCTGATGGATGTGGTAGAGATGGACAGGTTCTCCAGTGCTCTAGGGCTCTTCACCATCCTGGAGAGCATCACTCTCCTTACTGGGCCCCCACTCACAGGTGAGATGAAAAGCTGGCTTGGGGAAAGGTGGTGGTTTGGAAACTGGTAACAAGTGTGTGGGAGCATCAAGAAAAGGAATTAGAATGTTTCCAGATCCATGGTGTAGGTGAGTTATGCAAAGGGAGCAATAAAAAAGGTAGGGTCAGAAAGGAATAATCAGCCTCCTCTGACAGCTGGAAAGTAATTTCTGCAGCTGCATCAAGAGCACACTGAAAAATTACTCACTTGGTAAGTGATCTGATACCTATGGGAGCAATGACAGCTTTTTTCCAGTGGCAAGAAGCTGACAGGAATTACTATGAACTTTTTCACCATTTTGCTGGTTTGAATTGTTTTATCCATGAAGTCTCAAGGAATTGTGAACATCCCATTAAACAAATTATTTGTGTTCAAAATTATTACCAGTCCTACATTATTCAAAAGCCCCATAGTAAAAGCTTCTGTTCAATCTTCTTTCCAAGTTCTGGAGCATATTAATTTTTCTCTGGAGACAAGAAAGGAGCTAGTTATGACTCTCAGTCCAATAAATTATTCACAGTTCACTCCAAATGCCACTAAGTGACCTGTTCAATACACACCTGCTCCTGCACTACAGCAGTAAATTCAAAAACTAACAAACAACAAATGTCAACATGAGCATGTCAACCTCGGTTCAGGCTTTAGTTCTCTTCTCCAGACAATGAATTGTGGCTACTCAGAAGGAAAATGATGTCTGGTTCAATAATGTGATGGCAACATGCAGTGTATTTCACGGTACTCCCTGGCATTAGCGTGTCAGTCACTTTTCTCAGAGCAAAAAAGGTCCTTTCTTGGTCATCGCTGACAGGAGCAGAAGATGGGCAAAACAAAGTGCAGTAAAAGCAGCTCCATTTCTGTTTGTAGTCCTAAAATCTGCTACACAAAAGTACACTATAGAAAGAAACATCACCAATCTTGATTGAAAAATACAAGCAAATAAACATTATTCCAGTATTTCTACATTGATAAACAGCCTATGGAAGGCATCATGTATTTGGCCTAAATATCACTTTTCCATCTCTAATATTAGTCTTAAATCACTCCCTTGGTATCTCATACTTCCAAATAGTTTATATTAAGGTCACTTAATGTTAGTCATAATCTTGCTGTGCTGTGAATTTCCTTATCCCTCATTATACAGGATTAGAGACAATTACTCAATTTAGAGACCTTACTATATAAATTTCTGAGCTATTTCTCTATCTGGTTGTTCTGTTTTCTGCCCTAGGATGTAATAGGGTCACTCATTCCAAAAGCCACTGAGTGGCAGTGGCACAAGGGTCCTCTGCTGAGCAAACAAAATTAAACAGCAGGTTGGGGAAAAATAACAATTTCCTTTCTTTCCTGATTTCTCTATGTATTGAAAAATACTTTCTACAGAAGTATCACCTGACTTGTGACTACAAATAAAAAACTAAACAACCACTAGAATCCAGAGAAGAGGAGAGAAATCATCAGAGAATGCTTATCTTATGTATATGGCAGTTTGCTGAATGATTCAAGTTTGACATTCATGTAAATGTATGACTTTAGTGTGCCTCTTCTCTTTGGCTAAGCTATGACTTCTATTTCAGGTCTCCTGGTAGACATAACCAGTGATTTCCACTACGTCTTCTACAACTCCAGCTTCTTCCTGATATCAGCTGCATTATTTATGGGGTTCAGCTTCTGTGCTCTGGAAAAAAAAAACAAATTGAGAGAGGCTTCCAAAGCATGTTTGGACAATTCCTCCAGATATCAATACAGTGAAACATCAACAGAACCAAAGGCTGAAAGTCAATCCCCTCCAGCATTTGAGTACATCACGAGCATATGAAAATAAAGAAGGGGAAAAAGAGCCACACCATGAAATGGTCTGTACCAAGCAATACACAGCCCAATACTGATGGCAGATGAGAAAAAGCCAGTCTGCTTTCCACAACTGTCATCTTTCTTTTGCACTTCTACTCCATAGGACCTTGTCAGATTCCAAGACCTTGTCCAATTCCAGACCATGGGCCTAGTCCAGAACCCAGCACTAGCCAAGGAGATGAAGCACAAAGAGATCTGAGCTCTCCTAAAGCAAACCATGGGATAACAGCCGTGGGACCCAGTGCCAGGAGACAAAGGCTGTGACAGTTCAGTTGGGTTAAGTCACCACCTTTAAGAAGTCACTGGAATTTCACAAGCACATTCCAGTTGGAAGCGCTGGATAACATGTATTAATGGGTAGTTCTTCACAAAGAGCTATTGTTGCCTCATCTGAATACACAATTTTGGTGCACAGGCTTTGTGTTTGCTTCCCATGTTGGCTCTGGTAAGACAAACACTTTCCATAGGAAGTGTGTTATTATTTTCTACATCTCTAAATACTATACAAAAGCAGCTGTGTGGGTTGTAGAACTTGGACAAGTCTCTAGTAAGATCAACAGTTTTCTATATGAAGCACATACATGAGTTTTTCATGCCAAGGACTATGCCCCAAAATTCAAATCCAGAGCCTCAAAAGAACCCCAAAAAACAACCCACCAAGCCTTGGAGTGCCTGCTTTCTATAACTACTGATATCTTAAGTGCTGTTAAATATGTCATAAAAGAGGATTTGTGGCTCATGTAAACACACTTCAGCATTAACTGGAAGCCATTTGGGGCAGGGAGGGTAATATCAGACCTAAGAATAAGTATATGCATCCTCTTATAGGGCAAAATTCAAAGCAACTGTAGTCCCTCTTTGTGGAGATCAGTTCAGCTCTTTAGACTTTTGAACTTAATTACACCAGCATTCTCATTACAGAGAACTTTGTACAAACATAACTTATATTTCTTATAAGCAGAAGCAGAACTTACCAAGAAATCTGTGGGGAAAGCATACTGAGAAAAGCCACTGTTGCTTTCAATCCAGCCATTTGGCTCTAAGTGGCTTTCTCTGCCACATTCCCAGGATTTAGGCTTGTCACTGCTCAGACAATGGCTGCAGCAGCCTCAGCCTCAGTATCAGAGATGCAAACTGTTCATATTCTGTCATCCCTGACCTGATAGACATGGGTAACAGCTCATGAAGCATGTGGATAAAGATAACCAAACACATCAGAACAATCAGAAAGATGGAAGCACAAAATGTGAGTGAAATGGAAGAAGTAAGAGCTTTCAATGGAACTGCAGTGCCTGTCTAAGAACTGTTATATCAAACTCAGCTGCAGTGCTTATCTGGAGAACTGTCCTATCAGATTCCTAGTGACAAACTCACAGTTTTCATTAGAGCTCCCCAGACAAAACAAACAAACCAATAAAAAAAAAACCCACTCTGGATGAAATCACCAGAAAACTGACTCCAAGGTTCTTCAGAGACTATGATGGCTTGATAGGTGGCTTTTACACAGAAGGGGCACCCACCCTTCAGAAGAGTTCCTGTTCCCACAGCTCAGTATCTTCTCCAATACTGCCCTGGGATTATAGACCCAGGAGAATTTGCATTTCCTGAACAAACCTATACTTAAATAAGATGATTAGTGGGAGATACACATATTCAATCTCTATTCACACATGTTTATTAACTTATGTAATGCTTACATGGTCCATAACTATGAAGTAAACAAGGACTGGTTCTTCTCAGCTTACCAAAACAGACTGCTGTACACTCCTAGGAAAATGAGGGGGCTTTCTCTCTCACCAAAAAAAAAAAAAAAAAGCAAAAAAAAGGAATTAAGTCCCAAATGTCTTCTAGCTACTGCAAATAAACAGCTAAGCAGCTGAACAGATTGCAATTTTCTTGGTGTGTAATTCTTAAATTTTAAATTCTGTTCACCTTTCTAGATTCTCTTTCTGTTTTCTAAAAGAAATATGAGGTCATGTGGCCCCAGATACTCCCACTGCTACAAATGTCCTGGGCAAAATAGGCAAGATACAGTGTAAGCTACAATCCACCAAAATTTCCCACAGGAAACAAAGGTTAGGTGAAAGAGCAATGGAAGGCACCTATTGCATGGAGCCAACTGATCCACCTGTAATGCTTTCACCCTGGCTGCTTCATAAAAAAAGGAAATGTACAGGGCAAAACCAAAAAATCTTCACCAACTGAAGCTGACACTAAAATCAGCTCCTCCTACACCAAGGCAAAGATACCTTTCTTGATCATTTCTTGACTGTGTGCAGCAGTACAAGAGAAATTAGGATGGAAGGCAAGGAGAGTGCTTTTCAGAAGTATTTTTTGATAGTTCCAGACTCATCACTAGGGTCACTGGGACTTATTCACAAGCACAGAGAGACGTTTCTGAAAAGAAAAACAACCAATTCACAAACCTCTTATTTTAACATTTCTCAATTGCTGACTGAAACCTTTCTAATAGAACTCAAGCCTGAAAACAGAGTTGTCTCCCCAGTTATTTTCCACAGACCCTCTGAAAGTAATCCACAACCCACAGGTTAGAAGTAAGTCCTGAGCATAGGAAAAGTAACATTTCATGCTGTGTTTGCACAGGTGAATAAGATGTCTGAGCTCCCATAACAGAGAAAATAATCCCCCTCCTTTCCTTGGGTCTCCTCTCCCACGTGTGTTTCCAACCTGAACTCCAAGCTGTCTTGAGCAGGAGCTTGGCAAAGGATAACAGGAGGAACCTGAGCATGCTACAGAATAATAAATATTCCCCCTCAGAGGGATCCTACAGATGCAGCAACACCCAATCTTTAGGAATTTTGTGGACCAGAAGGAAAAGAAAGCAATAAAAGTTCCCCTCATTAGTTTAAGGTCAGCCCTTTACACAAGGCCATCACAGCCCCACTGAAGCAGTTTCTTTAACACCTGCAGACAGTAAAATAATTGTGGCTTTAATTTGGGACAAACCCTAATAACTCAGCCAGGTTACAAACCTCTGAGAAACAGCATAGCCACAAATATTAACCACAATTAAATGTTTCTTGCTCCCCATGTCCCTCTTGCCCTTCACCTGCTTCCTTTATCATGGAAGATAGTCTGACCATTGCAAGATAAGCATTTTGGCAAGAAGCACATTTCCTCACTGAAACGAAACATTCACTGGGAAGTTCTCACTGAAATATTGCAATATCATGATCCTTAGAAGTCTGAGATTCTCTGCCAGGGTAATACTTGGGAAAGTTTAACATTAATATTACTTATTTATATTTAATAACAATAAAACCCAAATAAAGGTTTAGACTTCTTACACACTCTGAGACACTTCCAAAGTGCAAAATCACTAAATTTGAGAGCTTGACTTGCTGTTTGCAGACATGGCTAGTAGATATAAGAAAAGAAATAACTACTAGAAATTAAAATTTCCTGAATTCTGGCTTCAATGTGCTATGGAAGTCACCAGAATAGCCCCTGGGGCTGTGACTACCCCAGCTAGACCAGCCCCTGCTCTGGGAACTGTTCTGGCAAACAGCAAGTGCTTCAAGCACTCAGACCATTAAACTATACAGCCAATATTGGCTGGGTAAATGCAGTTCTTACAAACAGAAGTAATTGCATTTTTCCTTTTTAAACACAGTTTCCCCCTCTTATTAGTCAATCCCAGTAGCACTTTGTTTGTATGGACTAGCTCCCTGTGTTTGCTTTCTCTGCTCCTGCTTTCCCACATTACTCATTCACCTTCTATTTAATGACAGATGAGGCTTTAAAGTATATCAACACTTATCACCTACAAAGGCACACATTAGAAGATTTTTACTACACAGATTAGAAAATTTCTTAGTACATTAGAAAAACATTCTAATATAGACAGTTTGTAGCACCTTTGCTGATCATTTTCAGATAGAAATACTCAAATATGCAAATAAAAATATATGTATTTATTTAGATATATACATAAATACATACCGACTTCAGATGATAATCCTACTAAGAGCTGGAGTTGCTAGCACTTAGCCTGGTTTAAACTTGTTTACAAGGTAGAAATAAATATCTTTCTTCTCATGTTCTGTGTCTTCCCACACCATTACAATGTTAAAATATTTAGCATTACTGCATTCAGTGAAGCTTCTTTGCTTATCCTTCTATTTAATGTAGCCATGGGCAGATGTTTTAGTGCCCCCAGCTGAGTGGGTTATCAGCTCACCGCTCTTGTCACTGGTGCCATGTGGATCGGTCCATGACTAATTTGCTTGATATGAAAATCAATTGTATTTGAGGTAACACAAAAGACATGTTCTCACAGCCTGTTCCTTGCCTTATCCACAGAAGAACATCCATGCATGTAATTGCTTCAATAAAAGCAGTACAAATTTCTGCAGAGTCCACTCCCACAGTTTATGATCTTTATTAACCTTTACCTTGTATATTTACACAACATGAACCATAATTGAATCCTCTTGCAACATGTAAAATTGCTGTGGTTTCACCGAGCCGTGTTAGTTCAAGACAAGGTAATTTGCTCCATTCTGTGCCCAAACCATTGTACAACCAAGGTGGAATCACCTGCTGCTCTTTTAATTCACTCCTTGGCTTTGTTGTATTTTTTTCCCAGGTAATTCGCGTCACTGTGCACGTATTGTGCCCTGTTTTTACCTTTTCTCCCTCAGCTTCATGAGTTGCAATCCCGTTATTTAAACTAGAACTGATCCAGGAGCAGCACCACCACAAGGACAACAGCACTGGGATGGAGCAGCAAAACATACAGAGAGGTGAAAATTCTTTAAATAATCAGTGGAGAAAGGTCATCTGCTTTGCAGAATAAAGCGTTTAAGCAGCAAAGCTTTGCCATATAATGCAACAGTCAAATACCTCGACACAAATTCATTTATTTTTATATATTTTATATATCTTAATATATTTTAACATATTTATACGTAAAATGTATAAATTATGAAATATAGTGAGAGAGAGGAGGACTAGCAACCACCTTTCCACCTGAGAGGAGGAGACTCGCCCCCCGCCCACAAAATGGCGGCCGCTCCCGCCCCGCCTGTGGGGAGACGGTGCCGCCCTTTCCCGCCCACAAAATGGCGGCGGGCGGGCTTTTCCCGCTGCACAGGGCGGGCCGGTTCCTCCCGTTGCTCGGTACAGCCGAGCTCTGAGCTGACACAGCCCAGGGGAACGGGCAGGCCGGTGTGGTGGCCCGCAATGGAACTGGGCCGGCTGGAGTACCTGCAGGCGCTCGTCACCGAGTTCCAGGTGACGGACAGCACAGGTAACAAACGTCGCTGTTCGCTCGCCCTCTCTTTTCGAGCTTTTCCTCACACACCCGACCCTTTTCACTTGCAGAGGCCAAGGAACAGGTGCTGGCGAACCTGGCCAACTTCGCCTACGATCCCAGTAACTACGAGTATCTCCGGCAGCTGCAGGTGCTGGACCTGTTCCTCGATATGCTCACCGAGGACAACGAGAGCCTCGTGGAGTTTGCCATGGGTAAGGGCTCCCCCGAGGACCGGCAGCTGTCACCTGGGCACGGGACACCGGGCCCCGCGCTCGGTTTGCTCTTTAATCGGCCCCACATTCACGCAGGGCTCTAAAAACAAACCCACACTGTGCTGATAAAGCCTCGTTTAGTGTACAGTGGGAGAGAAGTCACAGGCATGACCCTCATGTCCTTACAGAGCATAATGAAGACACCATCTGGAAAGGATTTGGTTGGGTTTTTTTCCCCCAAACACTGCCTGATTAACTTTTTTACTGAAATCTCTTCTGTAGAGAAGCAGTCGGGTTTCATTGTACTGATCCATTCTGCCATTGGCAATTGGTCTTCTAGAATACTTGGCATTTTTTAATAAATCTTTTAAGGAACTGCCGTACCACAATTTTTCATGGTTTGAACATAAGCTAAGGGGCCAGACACTGTGAGTGGTTCTGTAAGATGATACTAAGTTAATTTGATTTTTAAGGTTTGTCACTGCATCTTAAAGTTTCAAACATTCTGTGCTTCTTGGCTACTAACTTACTTCTATTCTCTGGATTTCTACAGCACCTGCAATAAACTGCTGGTTTGTGTCTTCCATTAGGGATGAGTGAGCATTCCTGGAATCATTCTGTGGAAGCAGTTATGTGCAGCAGTAACAGTGCCCTCTAATGACACACAGGATACGGAGTGTGCTGATGGAAAATCATTGGAAACAATCAAAAACACATGACCTAGGGAACCATTAAGAATTTTCCATCCATACAGAAGATCTGGATTTTATAAACGGGCTGAGCGGTGAATTGACATCACCTCAGACACTTTTCTCTTACCGTTCCAGGTGGTCTTTGCAACCTGTGCTTGGATAAAACAAACAAAGAGTACATCCTAGAGGCCAATGGGGTGGAGCCCATCATCAACTGCCTGTCCAGTTCCAACGAGGAGACGGTGGTGTCGGCCGTCACCACACTGATGTTCCTGACGACGCCGCAGTCACGCGCGCAGACCACGGCGCTGCCCGTGGTGGAGTGCATGCTCCGCTTCTCCCTCTCAGCCAACACACGTCTCAGTAACCTGGCATCCATTTTCCTGCAGGATTACTGCAGCCCTCTGCAGGTGGAGGAGGCCAGGAACCTCAGCAAGCACACAGCAGTGGGGATTCCTCTGCCCAAGGACTGAGCAGGGTTGCAAAGATGGGAACCTCCTGCTGCTCTCGCTTTCTGCTCAGCAGGTCAAGAGCAGCATTAAAGAGGGAAGTTGGTCCCACCAGTGCTGCTATTTAGTTAACAAACAGGATGGAACAGCACTAACATGGCAGCTGGGCCAAGCACACAGCTAAGCCTGCAAGCAAATATTTAAAATAAAGCAGGTCATGGCTGCACGTTGGAATGCATTTTGCCAAGTGCAGCTCAGTGCCCAGCTTGCACAAATAACCCTTCCCAGCAAAGAGGTGTGTTCTGCTCAGGTTATTGGGCAGAATTATGTCCACTCAGGTTCCTGGCTAGTTGTGCTGTACCTCTCCCATTCAGTGTCCATGACAAGTGATGCTAAGGGTCAAGTCACTGAAATAGCACAAAAATTTATTCCTCCTGTAGAGAAAGGAATTTCCCTGCTCTAGCAGTTCACAATCTCTCCATCCTTGTGGCACTAGTTATGCCATCATAACTGTTATATTTTAGCTATGGCATCATAACATGCCCTAATCATGGCACGTCTAGAGAATCTCTGCGTAGGGCAGGCTGTAAGCTACTGTATAAATGAAGAAGTGGTAAGTTTGTCTTTCATTACCACAGGTGAGAAAGGTGAAGTAAAAAAAAAAAAAAAAGGAGGGGGGGAGCTCATGGCAGTCTGGCTCATGAGAACAGCTGTCTTGTAAAAGCTTCTGTTAATAAAACATTAACTTAAATGCTGTGTCATCAGTTCTGTGAAAGCTCGTGAATATTTTCCTCCAGCACTTGCAGCCTTTGCCCACTCAAGCACATGGGCCAATAAATTGAAGCCAGCCTAGTCTCTTTTGGCCTCATTGTCAGCCATGAGGCAAGAGAAAACCCAATAACCAGGGTGGCTAAATAGATAAAATTTAAAAGGTTTGACTGTTGAGCCCAGTGCTTCCTGACAGACACCCACAGAGGATCGGCAATTGTTTGAGAGCCTTCCTCTTTTTTTCTCCCCTCTGTCCCCAGACAACACAAACCAAACGAGTGAGGTTAAACACACACAAAAACCCAAACACAGCTGCTTGTAGTTTATAGTTTCTCTTCTCTTAACAGCAAACATCCAAAATGCTACAGAGATCAACTGAGTGCAGAGCAACCTTCCAGAAACCCAGAGCACTGAGGAGCAGCTCATTTCTTACTGTGGCTGATCCCTGCAGTGAACAGTGCCTCCTAGTCATGGAGGCTGGTTGTTCCCTGGCAGTGGGAAGAGTGCAACATCCCCTTCCTGCACTAGTGCCTGCGCTTGCTTTCCAGGATGGCCTTCCAGTTGTCAGCCCAGGAGTGCAGGCGCCGGCGCGGGGCCGGCAGCTGGACGTGCCTGTTGTGGCAGCAGGTGAACAGGATGTGCTCCCATCTCGGGTTCAGCTCTGCACCTGTGGGAAGGGGGGAAAAGCTGGAATCAGCTGGGGGGTGGCTCCCCAGCCAGCAGCCAGCCATGGAAATGCTGTGCAAACCTTGGATAGTGTCCTTGTCATCAAACAGCAAGTCAGCAGCCACCACAGTCTTGTCTCGGGTCAGAATAATCCGCTCCACAAACTCCGGTCCCAAGTGTTTCTCTACCCACTTATACTGCAGAGACAAGGAACAGCTGAAAATCCCGCTGTGCTCTCAGTTTGCAGCTCACTCATGTCAGACCAGCCCTAACAGAGCAACTTCTTGCCCCTGTAAACTTTCATCTGTGTCTAGGAATCCCCACATGGAGACTGGCTGCGGCCCAGGATGCTGATTAAACCTGTTTTTGTGATAGCCTTCACTCAGCACCGCCCTGGCTGTGCCCAACTATTGAGTTTGTGAGAAGCACTGGCTGCTTGCCCAAAGCACGTGGGTTGTACCCATCTAAGTCATTCCAGTAACCAAAGTCCCCCGTCCATTCTTGTGCCACTACAGCCTCCTCAACGCAGCACCAACCTCTTTTGGGACATCTCAGGTTCCAGATTTAGACTGAAGTAGGTTTTGTTGGTTGGTGATTCTCCAGAGTGGAATCCCCTGGGAATAGCCCATCCCTGTGGGGGAACTACAACAGCTCCTTTGCCATCACCTGCTGACACAGCTGGTCCCAGCCCAGCTCCAAGAGCCCAAGGCTCATGTGCTCCACAGTAATTGTGACACCATGTGGCACTTGGAGATTCCCTGTCCTGAGTTACTGCTCTGTGTGTGGGAAAGTATTCCTCAGATAGGGGTTGAGGGAAGCCTGGCAGCTGGAGCAGCTACTGTCTTTAGAAAGGAGTAGCTCCACCTTGGGTAGTATGAAACACCAAGGCCTTGCAAAAACAGCATTAAACCACACAAAAACAATTCTCTCCCACCTTTTCCACAACGCAGTGCTCGTATTTCCGGAGGGGGCTCGTGCAAATGAAGACTTCAGTGCTGAAAAGAAACAGCCTTTGTTAGCAGTCAGGGGAAAGTATGTTACATCCTGGAAAAGGGCAGCAGGGTGAAAAGTCTCCTTACTCCTGCATGTGGAGCATCTCCTGCATAGCTTCCAAGGCTCCTGGAATTGGATCCAAGTCTAGGAAGAAGCCAGGCGACTCATAGACACTGGCTACCTTGGCCTGCAGGAGACGGAGGACGATAAGCAGTGGCTGTGCTCCATCACAGCAGTCTCCAGTCACCCTCTGTGCAACGGCCTGCTGCTTCCCCACAGGAGTGAATTATAAAATTTCTCACCTTTGGGTTCTGGGAAAAGTCCAGCTTGGGCACACAAGAAGTCACATTCTCGTGGCTTGTGAGGAGGCAGAGCTGCCCCTGGCCTGGCTTTGCTCCCACCATCAGCCCTGACCCACTGGAGTCTCTGGGGGGGCTGAGGGAGACAGACCTCCCACCCCACGCCCTCACAGCAGGTTTCTTCCAGCTGACTCTGGTGGGAACCAAAGGAACAAGTTGGAAGCTTCTTCTCCCCTCTCACATTTGGCTGAGATTAGCTGAGGGCTCAGGAATTCACCAGGAATGTGTGGGCAGACATAGGCACTGCTCATCAGCCCCTTTTCCTTCAGAGCAAACAGGGTACAGAGGTGACCATGCCAATGGCCAGGCCAGCACAGCCACACCTGGGGAATCCCTTCAGCAAGAGGAAGGATGAGGATGAGCACGCTGGGAAAGCTCCATGACTTTGCTGCTTCTTGATTTTCAATCACCCACTTACAATATTGTTGAAGGAACAGGCAGCCTTGGCTCCAGCCTGGATGGAGCTGTTCCCCTGAGGTAATGGGCTGCTGCAAAGTCTGCTCCAAAGAATCTGAGACTACAGCAGGAAGTCCAGAGGTGATCCTGTGCTTCCCCAAGAACTTTCGGATCTGTAAGGTGACCTGTGCACCCCATGAGCCCTATCTGGGCTGGGTTTGAGGGTGCTGTGGGACACTGCTCCCCTCACCTGGCTCAGCACTGGGCTGAGCTCTGCAATTAAGGCCTTTTATCTCTTTTGTGTCTGCACCTGCTCTAGGTGTAAACCCACTTCCCACCTACTGGTGAAACCTGTACTTCCATACAGACAGGTGGGATGCCATGAACCAGAGAGGAAATTAATGATAAACAAGTGGTGTTAACAAGGAGGTTAGCTCTAAAGGTAGAATCATTTTTAAGTGAGTGGAAGGAAATAAAATTACTGGTGGAGCAATGTTATCCCAGGCTAATGTAGCCAAAAATGGGACAAAAAGATATTTCATATGATACAGTACAGTAGCATCTTTAATCTCTGAAAGGAAGAGCAATATTTCCAGGGCCATTTCCAGGTAGAAAGTCCAGACTGTCCTTCCTGTCTTTTTTCTTCTTAATTTACTGGTGAGACATTTTCACACCTTTTACTATTAGGAAATTTACTGGTTTGAATCCAGCTCTGGTTAGTTAATTTTAAGAATTGCTCCCTGGTGACTGTTCAGTGGCCTGTGTTAAATGAGTGTTTCACAGCAGGTCACAGCTGATGGGTTTTCCCCTTTATTCCACATCCCATCACGGCAGAGGACCCACAGCAGCACTGAGGGCTGAGGCCCCTTCCAGGCCTAAGTTTCACCTTCAGACAAAAAGGTTAGGCTTCCAATATCTCTCCACCTTGAGACACAAAAATCTTAACTTCCTTGGGGTCACATAGTGAACTTTAAAGATGCCAAAGCAGCATTTTTCCACAAGCATTGAAGTCATACATTCCCACGTCACTGAACTATTAGGAAAATTTAATTCTTGTTTAGTATTCTTTAAAGGCAGGCTGCAGCCTTTGCTTAGACGAGTCCAGCTGAAGGTCTCCTTGTTCTATATCACAGTGGAACATCAACAAAAACCCATTTCAATTAAGCAGCAGTGAAGAAGAGTCAACATTAAACCAGACTCCCAGATCCTGAAGCTCACTCAGTTATCAGCACCTATAAATACTCATAAATCAACAGTCAGAAAGTTGGAAGCACTGCCTGATTTCACATGCAGATCAGAAGCGGTTAAGGAGCCTGTCTAGGTTCAGATGTGGCAATCAGATCTGTCCGGATCTCTGTTCCCATGCAAAGCCTCCCTGATCCCAGCAACAATTCCCTGGAGCTCTTCCCAAGGAGATTGAATTACAGACCTGGTGCTTGTGTCTGAAAGCACTTTTATCCTACAGCAAGACACCAGAAACTGGCAAGTTTCCACCACGACACAAAAAATCTGGCTTTTTTTGAGAAACAAATTTGATTTGATGACTGTTGCAACCAAAAGCCATTTCCTCTCATTAAAAAAGTGACTAGAAAAAGAAAGTAAAACCATTTTCTTTCCTCATTTTCATGCCACCAATGCTGAACGTTTCCTTTTAACTCCCATTACTAAGATAACAATTTGGATACAAAAGTGGAGGGACTACATCTGTCCTTATGCTTTCCCATTTGCAGGACTTGAAAGTAATTCTAGAAACTTTTACCATCAGTGGGGATGTTGAATCCCTTTCTTTAAACTGCCTGGGGCCAGGAAACATGGGGAGATATCTCCACCAACACAATGGCCACACACACAAGAGGGCAGGTAGGCAAGTGCAGTGAAAAAATCTTCAACAAAATAAAATGGATTAGAAGTCCTTCTAAATAAAATGGATTTACAGTGTGAAATTAATGATCAACTTGCAATCAAAACAGAAACAAAAATGAAGTAATGGCTCAAGTTTCAAGGGGCAGCTGCTCAGCACCAACTAAGCATGAACACCACCCAGGAAGAGGTTATGCATAAATCATTACCACAGCATTTCCCAGGCCATGTCACAAAAATATCCCCCACCCTGGAAGTTCATGGATAGACACAGCTGACACCTGCCACAAAGAGCCTGGTGTCCAGCTGACCCCTGGGGTCCAGCTGAGCCCCTCCTCTCAGTACTGACAAACTGCAGACTCAGTTTCCCTGCATGGACACACGGCCCCACAAACTGCCCTGGGTGGGCTGCCTGTTCCTGCCAAAGCTTTTCCTGCAGCTGGAACCAGTGACTTTCCACAGGGATCCTCCTGTCCCACAGACACTCTATAAGGCCACAGCAGAACAAACAAGGGCTCTGTTTTTAAACTAATGTATGGCATTTACATAAAACCCAAAGGAGCCTCAAATATTTATAACTTTATTGTTCTGCCAAACACACCTAAACCAACCCAAAGCTCCAGAGATTACTGAAGGAGACAGACATAGCACAAGCTCCATAAAGCTAATTTCCTTAGGAAGTCAGGCTAGAACAGAAAGATAAGAGCTTTCTGACACTGCTGGTGTGCGTGGGATCCAAACCAGTTATCTGGTTATTTCATTGCCACACCTAAGGTCTGGGGAGGAACAGGATGAACATGAACCAAATTAGGGAATGAGGATTCCAGAAATAGAACAAAGGGCAATTTTCTGATAGATCAGATTGTAGACTTTCCAAAAAAGAAAAAAATAAAATCATGTCCCCTTGAATTACATGCAAATTATTTTATTTTTTTTTTTGTTCATGGGATCCATTTCAGGAATACTCATTTAAGTAAAAAATAATGTTTGTTTATGCAATGTAATAGCCAAATTTCTGTCTACTGACTATATTTATGGGTTTCTGCTTCCAGGAACTTTTCACCATCAATAGTCATCAACCACAACTCCGGCAGTTTGGAGCCTATGGAAATGCTGACTGAATCCACCACTCCTGCCCCTTATTCTGATGCAGGAGCCTTTACTTCACTATGGAACAGGAGTGACATGACTGTGAATTGCCATTTCTTAGCAGTAAAAAACCCCAGGCCCAGTACAGGATCTTAAAATGTGCGATTAACTTCTCAGGGAAAGTGTTCAGTAGTTTCCTTAGAGAGTCCTCAACTGTCCTGTGGCGACCAGAAGGAATGGTGAAGTCTAGATCTACAGTATTTCTAATTTTGTGTTTCATTCAGCCTTAATTTGTATACTGATAATCAGTGACTTCTTCCAGGATAACCAGTCCTTTACAGTGTTTGAATTCTTCCATCAAGCCATTCACTGAACCATCTTCTTTACCTATTCATGTTCTTGCTCTTGCTTTGCAGCAGAATTATAACCTCCTCAAAGCTCCCTGAGAACTCTGCACGTGCTCACATGGTTCCACAGCAGGACAAGAACTATGCATGTTCTATCTAGGTTTGTAGAGAACGAAATCCTGTATCTGTATTCCCTCTGCCTGCCCTGACAAGCTATGGGTACAGCAGGTAAGAGATCAGGAACAGTAGGAGAAAGCTGATGGGACACCCTCCATCCATGCAAACTGCTGCCATTTCTAATGTTTGCTCATGGCTGAATAAGTAACAGAGAGGTCTGCAAGGCAAAATTACAAAACCTGTAAATGCAGACTTCACCCATCCTTCTGGTCACCACAGGACAGGCAAGGACTCTGTAAGGAAGTGGAACAGATACTGATCCAGGCTGTGCTGAACCCCTTCCCTGAAAAGTTTATTGCTCATTTTAAGATCATGTACTGAGCCTGGGAGTTTTTTAGTGCTAAGAAATGACAATTTCATTTCCTTCCTGTTATATAGAGAAGTACAGGCTCCTACCAGTCTGATAGACTGGAGTATGAATCCAGTCAGCATTTCCACAGGCTCCAAACTGCCAGACAGCTCTGATCGATGACTATTGATGGCCAAAAGTTCCTGGAAATAAGATTCTGTAAATACAGTGAGTAGGCATGAATTTGGTTATTACCTTACATAAACAAACACGATTTATTGTTTAAGTAAATATTCCTTAAATCCCATTTAGGTATAGGACAGAAAAGCCTGCAGGTAATTTAAGGGGTTTTTAAAAAGCACTGGTCCCAGGCTGAGCTTTGCAGAGCCCGGCAGGCAGGGAGAGGTTTCCCAGCGGGGTGGGGAGGGTGTGCTGTCCCCGCAGCCGCACTCACCGCCAGGTCCTCCCGCAGGCTGCGGTACTGCTCCCGCACCGAGAAACCCCGGCGCTCCTCCAGCTCCACGCGCGGCTCCGCCGGGAAGCGGGAGCGGAATTCCCGCAGCACCGCGCCCTCGAAATCGGCCAGGACCCCGTCCATGTCCACCAGCACCCGCAGCGGCGCGGCCGCGCTCCCCATCCCGATCCCGATCCCGATCCCGCTCCCGATCCCGCTCCCGATCCCGGCGGGGCCGCTCCCGGCACACGCCAGCGCAGCGCCCCCGGCTCCCGCACCCGCCAGAGCGCTCATGCATATGCATGATCATATGAATATTCATGAGGGGGCGGGGCGGAGCGCCCCCAGTGGGAACAGGGCTGGGCTCCAGTGGGAACAGAGCTAAAACCCACAAGGCAGCCCCCCCCACCCCTGTGAACCCCGGGATGCGGCTGCCAGGTCCCCCCCGGCCAGAGAGAAGCACAGTGGAGCCTCAGCAGCCACCGAGTTCTCCTGGGGACATGGGGTTTGCAAAGGAAATAGTGATTTATGGGTTATTCCCCATGCTCTCAGTGCAGGGCAAGGTGCACATCAGGTACGGGGAAGCCCCCGGATGAAGGAGGAGCGTGTCAGAGCAAATCCAGTTCGGTAGGTCCAGCACCCCAGGGCAGGGCTTCTCCAGCAGTGATCTGGAAAGCCAGGGTGCTTGCAGGCACCGGTTCTTCCAGGAGAAGGGTGGAAAAGGCACCAGCAGACACAGCAGCTCCATAGAGATCCTCTGCTGTGGCTTACTGGGCAGCAGAGCCTTTCCAGGGCAGCAGAGAACTTCATGGTCTGGTCTCAGTCCCACCCTCTCCCTTTATAGAGTCCTCCTTTTTTTTCTTTTTAATGAGGAAAATAAACTTTTCTCAGTTTTCTTGAGAAAAAACAGTATTTTGGTATATGGTATATATCAAACCATATTCCACAGTTCTCTAATTCAGAAGACAAAAATGAAGAGATTAGTCAGATTCTCTCTTCAGGGGAAGATGGCACATGTTGGTGAGACCTCAAGCCAGGTGTAAGAATTCTCTGTTAGAGCAGGGCAGATTGGCTGAGACAAGGACAACTGAGAACAAAGCAAAACCAAAGCCATAAAATAAAACCCACACAGGAAACACTGCTTCAAAATTTCTATATTATTTACTTTTAAGCAACAATCCAGCCTTGTGAAATTACAACACACACTTTAAAGGATGAGATTTTTCACCTCATGGTCAAGCACCAGCATGATCATGCACAGCATTGAGTCAGTTGTAAAAAAAAATGCCCTGTAATTCTTATTTATATGATCCACTCCACCTTTACTGAATAAAGTCTGAATCAGCCCCTTCCCAGCACTAGGCCAGGTGGCTCTGGTCATCAGCACTCTATTTGGCACAGACCCTGTGTCATAGTAGTCCAGTATCAAGATTTATTTTGTTTTTAAAGGCAGCATGGTGTACATTACCCACTTAATGATTTATATGGCACAGCAGGGCTCAAGGCATTTACCACATGCAGTCAATGAAGCCTTTTAGATCCCTAAATCCCACATGTGGAGGAAGAGACTGCTCTTGCTGATTGTTTGCTGGCCTGGTTAACCAGGATTCTAAACCCTTGTAAAGCTAAGGGGTTCTAAAAAAAAAAAAAAATCTCAGTACAAAAACCCTCTAAGCACACTTAGAACCAAGCTACTCTCCTTTGAATTACATTACAATACTTCATAAAGCTTTCCCTCAAGTCTATCACTAGAAAACACTCATGTCACTTCCAGCAGATCTGGGGGAAACACAGGACAGAAGTGGAAAAAAACCCCTTGATTTCAAAAAAAGATGGAGTACATAAAGTGCTTCTTTTTAATGAAAGAAATTTGAGATGTACAGTCAGGCTCAAGTTGTGCAGATCACAAGCATGGGGAAAAGAAAACAGACACGAGTTCAAAACAGTCAGGAAGGGAAAGGTTTAACCGAGCACTAGGCTGGACTTGCCACCGGGTGGATTTCTCCTGGAGGGTGCAGGTGCTGGTGCTACTGGGCTAGGAACAGGTGCAGCAGGCAGGGACTTTTCTTCACTCTGACCTGGGGCAGCTTCTACATCAGCCTCAGTGTTTTCTAGAAGAAAAGAAGCTTTTAAAGTGTTTGATGTGGATGATGGGAGCCAGATGTTTGGCTGGCTCAGACGGAACTCAGCTCCTGTCAGTTTTGTCCAGAGGTACAGACAGACAAGCTCCAGTGCTGTCACCCACTGGCAGGGCAGACTCAGCCTTCAGAAGTGTTTCTCAGACCAAATCTGAGGCCTTACAGCTCAATCTCAGGCCTTCAACAAGAGCCACATTCACTCAGCTGCCATTAGGGGACACCAGTAATTCATATTTTTTTAAGGACAAGCAGCTTAAGGCTCAAGTCTTCTACATATAATCAGTCAGCATTGCGACTCTAGCATTGTCACTCAGGTCTGAGCAGGTGCTGGGAGTCACACCAGCATCAACAAGAGCTCAAACTGCATCCCCAGTCTCCTAAGTGGAGGGGAAAGGATCTGACACACTTCTGAGGCTTCACACAGGACACATCAGGGAACAGACATGCATGGGGAGGCTCTGATTGTACACTCCCTGGAGAGCACGTGGTAGTTTATTTTAAATCCTTCTGAGCAACCACAAATGAAGACAGGGCACAAGAGGAATTCTTCACAGGAAGCACTTTAGATACTGGAGCAAACAACTAATAAAATCTGCATTGCTGACAATTGATGCAAGTCCATCAGCATCCCACGTTTTTACAGAGTAGCATGACCAGTTCTGAGCCAAAGGCACAAATCATCACCTAGCAGCCCCTGATATTGGGGGTGAAGATGAACCTCGCCTGTTTTCAACAGACCCCTTTGTTTCCTCTCATGATCACTAATTCTGGGAGAATTCAGAGAACTGCTGCACATTCAGCTTAAGCTTTATGATTTAGTAGATCTCGATCAAATTCCCTCCCCCAGCCTTCTCTTCAAACTGAAGAGGCTCAACTATTCCAATCCCCCCTCACAGAGCAGCCATTGCACCCCTTCATCTTCCCTTTCACCTTCCCTGTCACCTCCACTACAACCCCATGGCTCTTCATGTGTCAAGGACTGTACACAATTCAAGACAGGAGGGTATTACCATTGTTTACAGAAAAAAGGATGTAATTTTCCATCCTCTCCCTGATGACATTCAGTATTTTGCTGGCACGTCCAAACACCTCAAAGAATTTCAAGGGGAAGGGCTTGAGGCAGATCCTGGGAGCACCACAGCATAGAGCTGAACACAAGGCTGCCATGGTTTCATTTTTGGGGGTCTTTTTCCCCCCTAGATTCATTACTTTACACTTCCTTACACAGGGATTATCCTGCCTTTATACTTGCCTGCCTCATTTAGCTGAGTCTTTCTGGCACTGAGATTTTCCCACCATCAGCACAATTTGACTACTTGAAAGAGGTAATATCACCAACAAAACTGGAGACTTCATTGTTCATTACCTTTTCCAGGTCACAGACGAAGGCACTGAGTAAAACCACCTCCAGCATCACCTCCCATAGCTCATTTTTCCAATCTGGAAGGTAATTACTAAGTCCTTCCCTTTGCCTCCTATTTTTTTCTACCCCCAAGCAGCAGCTTTCTTCACATCCTGTGTCAACTCCATGTATTTTTTTCAATGCAAAATGTTATCAGAAACACCAAAACCCAACTTGTGTCCACTGAACCACCCCCCTACATCCACAATTATAATAATGTCAAAGAACTCCAGCATCTGAGCACAGTCCCTGTGCAATCAGGAATAATGTCCAGTACAGATCCTCTGCTGTGCTCATTAACTCAGCAGAGCTGAAACAAACAGTTAACACCATATTTTAAATGTGAAGCTCCTGTAGCTGCTGTGTCCCAGTGTCTGCTGACTCAGCAAGTGCTGGATGTCCCTGCCTGGGGACAGTCCCAGCACTGTGCAGGATCCAGGCCCCACCTTCCCGTGGAAGTCATGTACAGTCAGGCACTGTCTAATTCTCCTTAGCTGCTCACATTCATTCAGCTCATACTGCCCCTGAATCACAAAACAAACAAGCATTACCAGCACAGGAGGCTTTGGGGGAAGTGTCCTTGTGTAGCTGATACACGTTAGCACTTCCCACATAACCAAGGTAAGTTTGCCAACCTGATGAGTGACGTGGTAAAACCAGATAAAATATTAAAGCTCTTCCCTTCTCAGAAAGGGTCTAATCCCTGAAACAGCTCCCTGCTGAATGCACTGCAAGCCATGGGGAACTCTCATGCCCAGAAAAGAACTACAGCTCCCAAAGAGGAAACAAGAGCCCTGCTGCAAAATAAATGTTGGTTGTTTTTTTTTACATTAGACAGGCTTGATTACTAAATATACACATCCCACCTGACACATACTTGGGGTTTTATAATCAGTTACATATAGAAAATAATTTCCACGTTCAAAAGAATAAACATTTCTTAATAACAGAAACCTATTCAGAATCAGGTTGTACTGTGAAGGTGTTGTCAGACAGCTTTTTGCTTGGAGGTGTGTTCATTGTTCCTTTCCAAATCCCAGAGGCAGCCCTACAAGGCCAGCACAAAGTCACAGGAGTGCCAGTGAGATGTTCAGCAGTCCAAATCTGCCATCCCACAGCAGGAAAATCCAGGAGAGGAGTGACAACCAGATCAGTGAGACTGGACTCCACTGAGCTACAACACCCAAAGCAGTCAATGGTAGGAATTCATTTAACAATCCATCAAGATGTTCAGGTATCTGCCACAGACACCATTTCCAGGAGGCATTAATTTCTACTCCTTCCTAAGTACTATCAGTGAAAGTTTAACATTCCAGCCTTTGCCTGCCATTTTTATTTCATCTTGGCCACTTCAAAAATTTACTTTTCAGTCATGGCCACAACAGGAAACAATCCCAGTTACCTTCCCTAACACTTGTTTTTTAACCACCTCCCAGCATAGATTCACCTGACCCTTGGTAAGAACTTCCTTCACTGTCACTTGCCAAAAACAACCTAAAAGACAAATACAACACCTGTGATAATGTGAACTTTTTTTTAGAAGTCAGGAATACCACTTTGCACTCCAAATTTCAACCAGCTGTCCTGATCCCAGGCAGCCCTATTTCTGCTTCCTGGCATCTCAACCCTTCTCACCTCCCCACTGTTTGTGGGATCTCCTCTGCCCTGTGGGGAGCTGGTTTAAACAAGCACCAGGAAAAGCAGCAGAGCCCTCAGTGCAGTTTTCTTCTATTAGCAAACCACATCCTCCTACTCAAGGCACAAACTCTGGATGCCTACAGCGCTAATTAAGATCAGACAGACATGTGAAAGAAATACTAGAGCCTGTAGAGTAGGATTAGAAGCAGCCTGCTAGAGAGGCAACACTTATTTTTGGGCACAGATACCACTGAGAGGTAGTGGAAATGTTCTGGAAAAGCTCTCCCCCCTCCCAGCAAAAGTCTTTTCAGGACATGGAGGTGCTAATGGCCTCAGGGATGTCCCTCCACTTTTAGGTGTTGAAAGTAGCACTTGGAAAGCAGCAGTCAACAAACACATTCCTGTCATCAGGAAGTCAGATATTCCTAGAGCAAACCTTGAAAAGGAGACATTTCCAGCCTCAGAGCTAGAAAAAGCACTTCAAGGGGAAATGCCTGTTTACAGGAGATTTGCAGTATATGTAGATCAACTTCCTTGGTGAAAATCAGCATTTAAAAAGCAACAGGAAGTCAAGAGCTGGTTAATGCAGACACTTGCAGAAGCAGTAGCTGGGTTTGATCTTTTCTGTAAATGCAGAGTTTGCTGTATGAGAAGACAATGGGAAAGAAGGAAACTGCTAAACTACAATCAATTATGTTGACTGTCCTATTTAATTATAAGCAACTCTAACAGCAGCATGGCCTTTCAATCACTGAAAGGAGTCCAAGGAAGTTACTTACCAAAAATGTCACCACCAACATCTCCTCCCTAGAAAAGAGAGAGGAACATGTCACAGATCATGTTTCACAAGGCATTTTCCTATTCCATGGAGTGGATACTCCTCCATGGTGTGACCATGGTGACTGGGCACACTGCTCTATGTGGCACCACGTTCTAAGCCACAGGCTCAGGAGGGCACTTTTAGAGCAGCAACAGGCTCTGAGGGACAGAATGCAGAGTGGCACAGTGGGCTCTGCACTGAAAAATTCTGCAGATTGAAATCATGGGTTTGTAAGTACCATTTCTTACAGACTGACTTATAATTTAACCAGTTCTTTATTTGTCTAACATACTTCTAAAAGTTGAAACAGATATTAGAGTAATCTTGATGACACGTGGCACATTTGTTATTCCCACAGTGAAGGACAGAGGTGGGTAAGAACACTATTGTACAGAGCATCCCACATCAAGCAGCACTGACAGGATCCAGAATACTCCCACTGCCCAGCAGGAAGGGAAAAAAAAATTACACTGACAGCAACAAGCAAGAGCTGAGTAGCCTCTGCTTTGTACTGAGCAACTCTTTGCAACACCAAACTTTTATCTGTTGGTAAGGCCAAGAGTATTTGTTCTGTCCAGGGTATTTAACTTCATTTGTGAGACATAGATGAGCTTTTTGGTTTTTTTCTGATGAAGTTTCTTTCACTACATAAACAGTTAAACATTCTTTACATGCTGAAACTGCTCGTAGGCTGCAGCTTGACACAAGGACAGGGAGTCTCCCAGCAGCAGCCAAGGCTCCTCAGTGGCATCAGGTTTATCAACTTTCATAGATTTAACACTGCTAATTACACAATGAAACTACAGAAATTGTGATTAAAAAAAAGGACAGAAACTGACACAAATGTATCACCTTAAGTCTCAGGCTGTTTTACAGCTGAATTACTGCATAAAAGTAAAATATTCCAATTTAATGAAATCTATTTTCTGTGGGAAGAATCTGTTTGCAAAGCTGAGAACCACAGTATTTAAAACAATTCAGTAGAAAGAATTAGACTAAACAGTTAAATTTATAGCTGAAAATATACCACAGAAAATAAACTTGCATATAATTTGCTAAATTGAAACAAGACATTTTTTTAACAAAGAACAGTTTTGTGACTTAAAGCAAATAATATTTGCTATAATTAATAACAAAAATGAGTTGTGGTGCTTGATGCCAATTATTATTACCAAAATAAAACCTAAGATAAAAGGTATCTGCTACAACATTTGAGATAGTTACTTACCTACCCAGTTCTTTTCAGAAAACCTAAGGCTGGAGAATTTTAAATAAGATTTCTTTTTTCTACTTTGTCCATGCAAACACAGGGTACCCTACATTCCTAGGGATCTAAGTTGAGAGGAATTACTGGTTTTTTTACTGAATTTACTGTGTTTCAAAAGAACACTTCTTTCCCATTAAACCCTGTTTTTCCCATTAAATGTAATTACACATCTAGCAAATTTTACTTAACACCATTAACAATACAAATCATGGTCCATTTGCTACTAGGTAAAGAGTTTATATAAAAAAATAACACACCTCATGGTGTTCAAAACAAACATTTGATACTCCTGAGGCAAGAATTTGCTGGGATGTGAAACCAAGTTCTTTGTCAGACCCACACACAGTGTGCTGTACTATCTACTGTTTGTGAGATGTTTAAACCCACAATCATACACAGAGCTGAAATTAGATTTCACATCACTTCATTACTGTCTCATCAATGAGATGGGTTAAGAGCGCTACAAAGTGGTCCTTGTGAAAAATCCAGCCCTTCCTTCCTCAGCAGACTGGAAGAGTATCAGATGGAAAGGGAAACCTTCAGGAAAAAACAAATTGGAGAGAAAGGATTCAAATGCTACAATGCTTCCAACTGTGTGAACATCCTTGATAAATCAATCCCACACATAGTGTGAATTGTCCATTATAAGGCTCTTTGTAGTCAAGTACTGACCTTGGGATCTATGAAGTCTCCACAGTTTGCCTCAGTTGAGTTTGTTCTTTGTGGTCCAGAGGGTTCACAGCTGTCTCTGGTTTCACCTGGCTTAGCCCCTACAAGCAGAGATTGATTCTAATCAGGTTGATTCTAATCAACTTAATGTGAAAGCAGATCATGAATAGTGACAGGTTTGGGTACTTTGGGAGAGGTTTTTCTGTGATATTACAGCATTACCATTCTAAAAAGTCTTGATCCTTTAGATAATGGCTCACAAATTATTGTTTTACAGCAGCATCCCAAGCAGTCATTTAAACCGATGGAGTCTGGGGTGCCAAGGCCACCCATACTGGCAGTGCTCTGCAGAAAGGGAAGCTTAAACCCAGCTGTGAGAACACGAGGCTAAAATTTCTCTGAATAATCAAGACCAGTCAGTGCTACTCTAAACAGTAAGACACAAGTCCACTTGTGTGACTTGGAGAAATTGCATACAAAATACAATTCTCTGCTTGCGACATGCCCAACACTTGCATAAACCCTTCTGGAAGAAACTAATGAGAAATAAACAATTCCCTGCAAGCAGACATCATTTATAACCCCAAAGTACCAAGGAGGAAGGGAATTCTGGTTTCCACACCAGCCACCAGCAGCATCAGGCTGAGCCACAAAATGAATCAATGCCAGTCAGCAGATGTGGAAACAAAGCACTACAGCCTTACCTGATGCTTTAGCCCAGGAAGGTGGGTTCTCCTCAGGAGTTCCAAAGATGCTGGATGCCATTTTGTTCCTCCTCACAGGTTGTTCTTTGGGCTCGTCAAAGCCCAGGGAGAAGTTGGAGCCGCCACCGGGAGGACGCAGCACTCTGTGGAGAGAGGCAGCTTTACATCCTGTGCCACCCTCAGCTGCACTCCCAGCACATCACTTCAACTATCCAGGTAAGCTCCTGCCAGAATTCCATCCTGGCACTGTATCTCCACTGCTCTTCAGTTGCACTTACAAAAATAAAATGCTCTTGCGCTCTACTTGTGCCCTTGTTCCATCCAGTATCACACCAAGGGCTGCTCCCACCAGTCTGAGCCAAATAAAAAATAAAAATAACTATGTGGGCATGTTAAATTCCAGCTTTTTTAAGAATACCCTGGGAAGGTTAATATTAATCTTCAAACTGGCTGCAGAGCAAAGACTGAAGTTTGAACCAACACCATTGATGGATGGGGGCTGCAGCCTTTTGATTTGCTTCCTCAGGAAAAAACCCTCAAGTTTGCAGCATGCTGCTGATCTAGAAGTAAAAGGTGAAATTAAACAGCTTGGAGTTGACTATTATTAGGAGAGACATGTGTACAAAGCTCCAGATATGTAACCTAAATCTAACAATCTGCTCTTACACACAAAAGAAGCCTGCTTAGTACTTCAAGAGCTTGATTACAGTCTGCTTTCCAACCTGCAGAACCCAACCAAAATGAACACCTGCAGCAAAATACATCTTGAAATGTAAGCTCCTCCTGATCTTGTTTTCATAAGCAGGAGATCTTGGGTTAGCTGAAGAAACCAGACAAAAGCCAGGAGAAGAAAACTGTGTGTAAGAACTTTGAAAACTCCCAGGGAGATGTGAGGACACCAACAGAACCTGGGGCTTCTTGGGCTTTCCAGGCCTCCAGTGCTCCAAAATGAACACCAGGACAAACTAAGGATGGTGCACATCTCCTCTTCTTAACAAATAATTTAATAAATCAAAGTTAGAACAGGAAACAGTACCCAGCTTGTTAGTGTTCCAAATCTGGGAACTCAACACAAAGAGTGAGTCCAACTGTACAATTCACATCCTGGGAGAATTTGAACCTGTTACATTCCAGCTGCAATTTAAAAACACTTTTCCAGCCTACAGAGCTCAAACACCCCTATGGCAAGGGAAATTCCTAAAGGTGTGTGACATGGATATTTACTGTTACATAACCAGAAAAATACTTTTCCTAACAAAATGCTTCTTCTAGAATTACTAATGCTCAGCTGCTAACAGGAGGATCCCAGCAGACTGGAGAGTGTGTTTTATTATGACTTGTTTTGTCTCCTTTCTGAATCAAGATGTCATGTAATGGACTTGACTCACTCCTTTATCTTTTTTCTCTGAGGAAACATATAGTGTTTATTTTTGTAGTTATAGCTGTTGCAGTTACTAATCTAAAGAACAGTTTGTTCAAAGCAGGGCTTGCTCCCAAACCTTAGATCTCCTCTTTTTACCAGAGCAGTGAAACACCAGCACTCTCTTAAAGGCACAATAGTTTCCACTGATAGACTTAATGACATTAACAGTAGAGACAACTGAAGGGGGAAAAAATTTCCATCACTCAAACTATTAAAAAGGAATAATCTCTTTTACCAACCTCAGGTAAAGGCTGACAGATTTTATTAGAAACCTGTCACAGCCTCGAAATGCTGTAACCTGCTTCATGAAAGCCATGTTTAACACTTCAAGCAATGAAATGCTGCTAAAATTCCACCTGATACCCAGTGATGTCCACCAAAAATCCACCCACAGCTCCAGGAAGAGCTCTGGTAAAAGGTTTGGAAACAAGCTTTGTAAAGATTTTTTGTTTGTTTTAAAATGCCCCCTGAAAAGCAAAAAGGGAACAGGAAACATCCGCTTTGTCAGGCCAAAACCTTACAGAAAAAAGCCACGATAGCGTGGAAAACGACACGATCCTCTCCAGCTGTGACTCCCGAGACCGCGGGTGCCCGACCTAGCGCTGTGCATCTCCTCCACACCAACCTGCCAAGTTTCCTTTGTTTCCAGACAGGCTCCGCTTCCCCCCGCCGCCCCTGCTAGCCCCAGATCGCCCCCGGGAGCGGGGAAGGGGCGACGCGGGCCCCGAGCTCCGGCAG